AATTAAATCCATAATCATAACATTTATGATTTATCTCTTCAAAAAAATAAATGATCTATTTTTTAAAAATACGTATCGTTTATTTTTTGGGAGACAAATCCAATAAAATAAACAAAGATCTGCAAAGTTATTGCCACGGCACATCGCCATTAATGCGGCCCCCTTACAGCATTTATTGCGATAACCCCTCTCCGTCGGGACGACACGCCCTCACCCTGAACAAGGGAAGCTACAGCATAGACTTTCGGCCAAGGTAACAGGCCGGTAGGGACAACGAAATGATTACCAAAGGATATAAGCAGACGTTGAAGACAAGAAGAAGGTTAAACTTTTCTATCTCTAATCTATCTCTACAATCCACTTCTCTTTCTAACTTGCTCGTCGGAGGGTTCGCTGGGGGACTCCCCGTTCCCCGTCGAACTCTTGTGCAGGTTATTTGGTGGGCTTGATCACTCGGATACCGGTTGGAGAAACGTGGATGAGTCCGACCCGTCCAAGTCTCGTGTAGTATCATTAATATTAAACCACATCATAATGTATGAATTTATTATTTATATATAATCACTCTTTGAAAAATGTTCTTGTGGCTATATAAACAATGTTTCTTCCCTAAAGTTGCTTCATAGCACCATTAATTGGTTTCTTGACTAAACTCTTCACATCATTTATGGTCATCCATTATCCTTTCTAAAGTCACCGAGGAACTTCATTTGGGGCACTAACTTGTTGAAGAAGAGAACATCTATTTGGAATCAATGGTGGGATTCAATTCACATTGTCACAACCAAATGCATAAATGCAAATGGTCCAATGGATTACATTTTTGAGACGTGTAACCATGTTGGTCTAACTTTGAGGGGTTGGAACCTTTCTCTATATTTAACTTATGAACAAAAAAATTGGCAGAAATTAAGTCCATATTTGGGTTTGCTTGTTGTATTTTGGCTCTTTAAGAGCTAAAAAAATTATATTTTTTGTGAGCGAGAAAGCTAATATGTCATTTAGCATTTTTAGCTGATGACAAATAATTTAGTGGTTTTTGACTTTTTAAACCCAAAGCTGATTGTTTTGGCTTGACTTCAAACAATCAGGAGCTAGAGTAAGTATGGAAAAGAATTATTTGATTATAAAGTTTGGGGATAAAGTAAATGAGTAGCACATTTAGTCAAATTTTGTGCTTGCAGATGGTTCCAACTTTGCCAATAATTGAAGTAAGGAATGACACTTATCTCTTTAAAAGGATTTGGTTTCTCTATCATTGGAGAGATGTCCAGTCTCATGTCATTTGCTCTGTTTAAGATTATTAATGTATATATGGTATATATTCTTACATATATTAGGGATTGATTTCCTAAATATATTAGGTATTGCCATAGTTAGGTGATACTCTTTCTCATAGTTAGATTTTTAGTAGGATTCTTTTTCTCAGCCTATATATACAGGTCTTCTATTATTCAATATAATTCATTCAATATAATACATATTATTTTTTTTTCCTCTCTCTCTCTCTACTATTCTAATATGGTATCAGAGCTATATGTTAAGCTCTTGGTGTTTTTCGCCTTACCGACGGGCGGTAGTTTTGCCTTCGCCGCCCGCCGCACCTCAATTTATTATGTTGTCATATTTTTCTGTCAATATCGTTTCGTGGTGATCTCTTTCTTTGTTCGCTGGTTTATTCCTACCCTAAATATCTCTATCATATATATATATATATTGTACTTCTGCTCCACTCTGTCTTTTCCCCTATTTCAACCTCAAATAGGTTTCTATCTTCACACCTATTTGAGTTTGAAGGGGGGTATTATACCTACAACATGGTGAGCATGGTGATATACCATGTGAACCACCTAAGCCCCAAACCACCTCTAAGTCGTCTCATTGGTGCACCATCTAAGTCACCTCCTTGGTGCACTCCCTAAGCCGCCTCTTTTGGCGCACTCTCTAAGCCACCCCATTGGCGCATTACCTAAGCCATCCCATTTTGGTGCACTCTCTAAGCCACATCCTTTTGGCGCACTTTTTAAGCCGTCTCCTTGGTACACCACCAAAGTCGCCCCATGGCGCACTATCCAAACCATCGCTTGGCGCACTCAGTTATCTGTTGCTATCATCATTCAGCACCACGTTATAAGTTATGTGTGAGCAACGCTTGCTGGTTCAACATCCAGTTTTCTACATCAGTCTAGCATGACCCTTTTAAACTGTCCCGACATTGATTTCGGTTAGCTTCTACATCAGTCCGGTATGACCCCTTTAAACTGTCCCTGACATTGATTCCGCTTAGCTCCTACATCGGTCCGACATGACCCTTTTAAACTATCCTGGCATTAGTTCTAGTTAGTTTTATATCGGTCCGGCACGACCTTGAACGGTCTTGACATTAGTTTTAAGCAGTTCCTACAATGGTCCGACAGGACCATAAACTGTCTCTCGGCATTAGTTCGAGCCTCTGATCTATTTCAAGCGCCCTTGCGCTCCCATTTGGATTTTGCAATCTATTTGTCTTTTATTTTATTTAGTTTTATTTCATGTTTTAGTTTCTCTCTTCAAACTTGAAAAATCTAGAAATTCCCTAGATATTGATTTGTGATTATGTAACAATTTTAAGAAGTATATAACAATCCCAATCAAACAATCAAGACAAATCAACATAACGATTTTAACGTGGAAAAACCACAATTGGACACCTCCAACTGTGACTAAAAAATCACGGGCAACAGCCACAAAACAATCCACTAAGAAGATTTAAAGGAATTACACAGGTATACTCTCAATTACCTAGCGAATCCACGCCTAATTGAACCAACCTTTATGTGCCTCTTCCAATCCCGTCTTCACCTTGGAATTGTCTTGACGATGAGCCACTCCGGAATCCACCAAAGCTTCAGGCTCGAATTCTTCAGAATCCACCGAAGAACAACTCTCTTTTTTGTGTAGAATGAACAAACAAACCTTTGATGTATACTGTTTAAACCATGAGTTGAAGACTCAATGAAAACATTAAAGAAAACTAGTAAAATATCCCCAGATATAAACCTTAGAATTCAAAAAGAAGATCTGGAGGATTTGTCCCAGTTTTGGAAGAAAACCAACTACTTATAGAAAACCACAGTAATCCTAGTTTTGGAAGAAAACCAATTCCTTATAGAAATCCAAGAATCTGTGTTCGCGCGGTCCGCTCGAGCGTGGGACTTCCCGCTCGAGCGGAGGCTTCAAAATTGTGTGATTCATATAGGCTTCACGCTCGAGCGTCAGTTTCCACACTCGAGCGTCGAATCACACCATCCAGTATATTTGCAGGCTTGACAGAAATGCTGAGAGGGTCCAATCCCCGCTCGAGCGCCATTTTTCCCGCTCGAGCGGGGAGGCCAAAACTGGAAAATTGAAAAAGGCAACTTTGGCAATTTTGAATGCATTTTTGCATTTTGCTTCGACCGCGAGCTGACCGGGCAGCTCGACCCCCGTCATAATTAGCGAAGTGGCAATCTTGAAAGTATTAACATCACAAACTTCTCTGCAAGGCTCGATTCGGGTTGGATTCGCATCTAATAAACTCATACCTTCACTGAAATAAAAGGTGCGAAAACAAATACAATTGAAAGGAGTTTTGTCAAACGGGTTTGTCAAGAATAAAACCTAACAAAACTCAAGATGTTTATCCTCCTTGAGTTTGAGGGAAGATATTAATGTATATATGGTATATATTCCTACATATATTAGGGATTGATTTCATAAATATATTAGATATTGTCGTAGTTAGGCGATATTCTTTCTCATAGTTAGATTTCTAGTAGGATTCTCTTTCTCAACCTATATATACAACCCTTCTATTATTCAATATAATTCATTCAATATAATACATATTATTTTTTCTCTCTCTCTACTATTCTAACAATGATATTGAGTTATCCTAGGCAATTTTTGATGACAATGGAACATTCTAGGGTTTTGGTTCTTTGTTTCTCAAGCGTACCCTTTGATGGCTGTGTTGCTATGAACTTCGTGGAAGAAAACTATATTTGATGCACAAATTGTTGATTGAATTTAAAATTACATGCATGAGTCTTATGTTTTTTATTGGGTTTGTGAAGCCGGATTAATACTATATATTTTATCACGCAGAAAGGAATTATGCTAATGATATTCTAGTAATTTGCTAATGTCATCTCTAACTTATAGATTGTTATTTTCACAACAGTCACATCATAATTTATTTTATCATTATTGTTATTATTATTCAGTATAGTAGAATCAGTGAGCTGTGGCAGATAATTTTGCTGAACCACGTGTCCTGTTTTCGTGTTTGTAATTGATTGATTCTTCTTGCTACCGTGTGGTTGATTCCTCAACACTCCATTCAGGCCCACAATTTGGTTTCTGTTTACTTTCTTTCACAAAGGCTGGAGGAGTTGTAGTATCAAATTTTGCTTGTGTCTGTTTTGATGAGTCTACTATGCATGCTCTGGCCCTTTCTCAAATTTAAAAGGAAATTGGAGTGGAAAAAAAATCTCATTTTCATAAGATGCAAATCTCTCATGTATGATGCAAGTATTTTCATGTATTTGTTGCATTTTTTTTTTTTTCTGTGCATGTCAGATTTACACTCAAAATATATTTCACCTATGGTGTAATTATTTGAGGGATTTACATGTAAATCTTAATAGGTAAATTTATTGTCTAATTATTTTAACACTATACAATTTAAATGCAATTTGCCCAAAATTTAATGCCCGGCTCAAAAAGCCTATTGGTCGGGCTTGTATATGGACCATTCATAAGGTCAGTCATTCGGACTAAGTCCAACCCGTCCCAAACTTGCACTTGGGCCAGGATTGAATCGGCCCATAGACTCTAAACCTTTTGACGAGGCTTAGATGCAACTATGGTGCCACCTTCAGGCCCATTATGGTGCCACCACTGGATTGAGTGGGATGAGACACATTAATCTGATTAACATAATTAAATTAATTTGATACAAGCTGTTCTTAGCTGAAGAATGGTAATAAATATTTAGAAGCTGAAATAAATCATTTAAGTTTTATACAAATACAAAGTATTTATTTAATGTTGTAACAAAAAAAACTAAAGTATTTATTTAATGTAAAACAATATAACAAAAGAACTGCCCATTGTATTTATTTTAATGTGATTGTAACACTTTCTTACTCAACATGTTCATATACTAATATGCATCAAATTAAGCAACTATATGGCAATTTTTTTTTATTCAATATGGCATTTTGAGAAAGTCTCTGGCAATCTTTCCATTAGCTCCATGAGGGAAGAATCCGCCAGGCTTATGCTCGTCGCCAGTGTCATATAAAACCCTCAGAATCTCAGCTGGAGTTCTCCTGTAAGAGATGGAGTCGAAATTGGAGGATAAGACGTTGGTCTCTGTCCGATTCTCTGCACCGAGCTCAGGTGGCACTATGATACCTTCGTCTTTGATCCCACACATTGCCAAGTTGTTCCTCAGCTGTGAAATTCGGATCGTAAACTCTGCCACTGTGTGGTTGTATGGGTGCACCAGTTCTTCAGCTCGCTCGTAGAGGTACATTCGTATAACAGCATCTTGTCCGGCCTCTACCCCTAAGAGTCCTGCCAAGAGCTGTACACAAAAGTATAGATAGATGATCAATTTGTCATTAAAAATGTGTATGTTACCCTCTTCAAGTTATGATTACGACATGATGTGTTTGAAGTTATTACTTAATCACATTTGTGTCGCAGAACGTACTCGGTGCATTGTGTATATTTGGTCCTCAAAATTGATCGACTTCTAGCAAGGTGAAACCGTTGGAGGATTCTCATAAAAATAAAAGAAATATTGTTTAATTTCTTCATTATTTGACCATTACAGAATTAATACCGGTTGAACTAATTCTGTTATAGATTAATATTTAGGTTTTATTGTAACTTCTATACCAATTAATATTAATATATAACCATTTTGATTTTAATTGTTTGTGACATTATTTCATAAGAGGTTGGTTCCTTTCGGTCAAAAATCCGATTAGAAGGTGTTGTTTTGGGCCATGGAACCTATCATTGATTTCATTTTAATAATTTAAACAATTTATTTTATTAAACATTTTGTGTATATCATTTAAAAAAAAAATAGATCCATAATTATAATCTATTCATCTTATTGGATTTGTCATTAAGAAAATAAATTAAGTTATGACAGAAAGTTTACATGAGCGTACTCTTTTGGGCATTTTTACAATTAACAATGATAGAGACCACTAATTTTGAAGCTCTAAAAAAACTACTAATGACATGGCATTCAATAAAAAAAGAAAAAAAATACAACACCAAGGCCAAAACATCAAATCATTCATGGTGGGACCCACTGCCACATCATTAATGATAGTACTAATTAGTGCTCTCACTCATTTTCCTTTTACAATAGTATTGACACACACACACACACACACACACACACAAAAAAAAGAAAAAAAAAAAAGAAGATATGACAAACTTAGAGAGATTTCCGTTTTAGTTTGTATATTGAATTGCACTGAATTTAACAATTTCTTGTGATTGATTTAGGCCCTGTTTGATAGGGCTTATTTTCAATTTTTTTCAGCTTAATTTAAGCTATTTTGATGTGTTTGGTTCAGCTTAACAATATATCTTATAGTTTTTTGTAAGTCAAAAATCAACTTATTCTTTGAGTGGGTGAGGAGAATTTTAATTTATAAGTCAAAAATCAGCTTATATTCACAGTTATAAGTTATAAACTGTTTAGATATAAACTATAATCACTTTCTCACAGCTCTACTAAACGGACCCTTAGACGTATTGATTACTTCAAGATCCATTGGTTAGACCAAACTAGACTTGTTACTTCAAGTTTTCCAACGTGATAAAGACTTCAAATGGTTGTTATTAGGAGCAGGTTCTCTCAAATTTAAAATTTAAATTTAAATTGTTTATTTGGCAGTTTCTCTATTATATCATCCTTGAAAAAAAATCAAATGGGCCTCATTTAGAAACAGACTATTTTAGTAATTTTTTAACTTTTTAACTAAAATATAAGATAAAAAAAATTAATATGTTTGGAATGACTTTTTGATTTTTTAAGAAAAAATGTGTAAAAATTAAAAAAAAAAAATGAATCTTTCATTTTTTGGTATAAGTTGTTGGCTTTTAGTTTTTTTAGTGATTTTTTTACTTTTAGGCTAAAAAGTAATGTTGCCAAATGATGCCTGAATCAATAATCATAACATTGATAATTTATCTTTAAAAAAATAAATGATCTATTTTTAAAAAATACATGTCGTTTATTTTTTGGGAGACAAATCCAATAAAATAAAAATATTATGAGATCTAAATTTTTGTCATCAATAATATACATACACATAAAATTTTTCATAAAACAAACGGTTCAAATTATCTAAACAAAAACCGACATAATATAATGGTCAAATTCAAATGTCACACTTAACCAAAGTTCAATCCTTATTATTATTTATTATTATTACATCAGAAGCAATGTTTGATTGGTGAATAAAACTGAAATAAGTCAAACGAGAAGTTATCAGATTAGTTGAGAGACTAACCCGCTTTGACTTGTAGCCATTGAGAAGGGGATTGGCGCCAACATAACCAACAATTCCCATGTATGGAATCACATAGGAACCTAACATGTAACTCAGGCTGTCTCGATATGGGTCGAATGCTGGTCTCAGTTGATATCCAAATGCTTCATCAAACAGTTTTGCAAAGTTGTGAGCACTCAGATCCATCAGAGGCCTTGGAAACCCACCAACCGTTGATTTTAGGGCCCTGAAAATTTAATCATAGATATAGCGCAACAATTTTATGACCAAAATTCAAGCTCTAATAATCTTTGAAATTTTCCCGTCTTTCTATCCCGGTGTATTTAAGTAGACGATCATATTTTGAAATTTGCGTGTTTTAAAATTTTTTATTGTATTGTGTGGTTGTTAATGTATTGAAAAGGAGAGATGATTTTTGCTGTATTGTGTGGCTGTTATGTATTGAAAAGGAAAGATTATGAAATTTTAAAACATAAGGTCCAAAACTATTTGGTAAAGTTTACTGTTTATTTATTTATTTTATTTACAGAAAACGTTAACATTTTATGTTTATCTTACTAAGCCTCGTTTGGAAATAGACTAATTTAGTAACTTTTTGGCTATTTGGCTAAAATATGAATTAAAAAAAAAATTAGTATGTTTGGGATGACTTTTTAGTTTTTTACGAAAAGATGTGTAAAAAGTAGAGAGAAAATAAAATTTTTAACTTTTTGGTATAAGTTATTGACTTTTTGGTTTTTCTAATAACTTTTTGACTTTTAGGCTAAAAGAGACGGTTCCAAAACGAGACCTAAGTACCACTTCTTTATTTATTTTTTTGATGGTTTCATATCACCAGATTAGATAATAAGATATTATTTGTTTGCACTGATTGCTTATAAATTACCTCTAAATAAGGAATCAATCATGAGTATCTGTGTAGGAAGTGATATAAAATGGTGGCATAAAGCATTTTCCTTTTGGTAAAATGAAAACAAAAAAACATACATGCTATGTACATGTATTTCAAAAATTTATTAAAAAATAAAAATAAAAACGAAAGGGGTGACCAAAGGGTGGTTGAAGATTTTCCAATGGCCAAGGTGGTTGCTATCGCTGGCAAGTGGCAGCTAGACAAGGTGGCCAACGATAGTGGTGGTAGTGAGTGATGGCCGGAAAATATAGGAGTTGAAAATAGTAATGAAAACTTATTTTCAAAACTAGGAAAATTTTTTAGTTAAACATTAAAATAAGTACAGTTATTGTTTATTAAAAAAAAAAAAAAAAAATACGTTGTAATTATAAATTTAAAACTATAAACATGTGGAAATTTGTAGATGGCTATACATACCTGAGATGACCGACTTCTTCAAATCCAAATTCATAGATGATGCTGTGTGTAAGAGAGTCAAGATTAGCTTTCTGGACACCAATGGGAGGAGGTCCACCCATGACAAGCTGAGGGGCAACCTTGTCGAGCCCGAATCCCAATGCTCCCCACAGGAAGAAGTCAGCTTCCAAGTGCTCTAGGTTCTCTGCAAATTGCAGCAAATCCACATCTTCTTCATATATTGGAACTGCATGTGGTGGGTATGTTGGTTGGCAAGTTGGGTAACTGAAACACATGTTCATCAATTTGCTTGACATCAATATCATCATCACCATCAACATAATCAATGAGGATGAGGAGGCTAATTGAACCCCCATTGTTGTGTTTGTGTTTGTGTTTGTGAGAGTAAGAGAGAAAGAAAGAGAGACAGTTATGAGATGAAATGCATGAAAGTTTTCTTTAATTTTTTTGGTTTGTAGGGTAAGCGAGTATTTATAGTGAGGGTGTGAACTAATGAAGCTTTTGCTTGTGGACTCATGCAAACACTTAAATCACATGCATAGCAAATTTAACTAAGCCATCTCTTTCACGTACAAAAAGAAATCATGATAGATTAGTATTCCTACCTCGACACGGTACAGTGACGCTGTGTTTTGTTGGAGGATTTGAGAAACGATTTGTAAAGAAAAAGAAAAAAAATAGGTGAAATATAAATATAATATACATATATTTCAACTACTTTCAAATACATTTTCTCTTTTCCTTTTCAAATTTTTCCAAAATCTCTCAACCAAAAATAAATGTATAGTTCAGATTCAGATTTATTCTAAATGCATAGTTGATTTTGAAGGTTTTTTTTTTTTTTGGTACAACGGAAAGTAAATTTTGAAGTATTTTAAAACTTAATCGAACTTACGCACAATCACAATCAAAAAGTTTATTGGTAAAATGATAAGTGGCTACAAATTTTTGGAAAAATTGTAAAAATATTCTAGAGTTTAAGCTTACAACGAAATATATCAGGAGTTATTAATTTTGTCAATTTAAACTTTAATATTTTGATTTTTTGTCAATCTAAACTATTAGTCTATTTTCAAAAAAATGAGCTTTTAGGAACAAAATTTTAAAAATGTCGCTAATAAATGTACTTTTAGGGACAAAATAATTTTGTCTAAAAAAATTTTATTTTTGAGACAAATTTTTTAGTCCCAAAATGTTAGTAATTCATTACTAAACCTTCGTTTGAGAAAAACTAATTTAGCCTGACTTTTAACTTTTTGGTTGATTTAACCTGATTAAATTAGTTCCGTTTCAGAAAAACTTTTGGTTTTTTTTTTTTAATGTAATGATTGTGAGAGAAAAAATGAAATGATTATGGTTTAGATATATATTTTATCTTATTGACTTATTTAATCTATTTTGTCTTTTCATACATATTTAGTCAATTTAGCTCTCTCTCTCTCTCTCTCTATATATATATATATATCTTTACATATACCAATTTTCCATCTCTGTATTTTCTATTTGAAATTTCAATAAAAAAATAAAAAGGCCACCAATTACTATAACTAATAGGAATCATGTGATTTTGATTGATGCACTGTGCTTTTGGTTCATGGGTGGCACATAAATTTTAGATTGTGGTTGGCTTTAGGTTTGGAAGGAGGAAGGGGTGTGGATTTTGTTGTAGAAATATGTCAAATTGTTTCAGATCTTAAGCCCGAACCTTCGTAAGAAGGGTTCATTTTGCTCACCTCAAAATGTTTTGTTTACTTGTAGCAAAACTATATGACATTAGAAGAAAATACGAAAATAGATTGTCCTTTCTATTTGGCAATTTTCTCCATTAATCTTTGTCCACATTTCCTAGTTCTAATGAAATATTTCTCTTTTTTCTTGAGTTTTAAAAAAAGAATAACCTTGTAACAAAAGGATTGTGAGTCAACTTGAAAGATGTTAAAGATGAGGTATAGTTTTGGAAAATAGTCAAACAATGAATTTTCTTTGATGACATTAGATTATGTCTATAATTTTCTCTCATCTAAATTTTCTTTGATGACATTGGATTCATTTACTTTATGTGCTTGCTTATTCTTGTTAAAACTAATAGTTTGGTTGAGACGAATTTCTCTGCAATTTCTTTGCCATTAGTTTGGTTGAGATAAATTTTCTCTGGCATTTTAATTTATATTACTTATTTGATTTTCACAAGTTAATTTACTCCATGTGATGAATTTTCTTTAGAATCCAAATTTTCTATGATTACAATTATAATCACATTAACTTATGTATCTTGGTTGATTTTTTTTTTTTGCATCTGAATTTTACCTAACCCATCAAATTATGTTGTTTGTTTGATTTTCACTGGTTAGTTGTCTCTTTGTATGTAAATTTTCCCTCAAGATGAATTTTCTTTGGCATCACAATTTTCTCTGAACACATTGGATTCACTTTAGTGTATGTACCTTGCTTGATTTTCTATGACTAGTTGTCTCTTTGATTTTCTCTTTCATTTTCTTTGGCATTTTAATTTTCCCTAGCCACATTAAACTCCCACTAATTTGTATTGTTTGTTTGATTTTCACTGATTAGTTGTTCCTTAAGCTGAATTTTCTCTGGTATTTGAATTTTCCCTGAAAATATTAAACTCTCACGAATTTAAGTTACTTGTCTGATTTTCACTGGTTAGTTGTCTCCTTGTGTGTAATTTTTCCTTTGATATAAATTTTCTCTGACACTAAGATATCTCCTTTAGATTAATTTTCTCTAAACACATTGGACTCTCTTTCTCTCTGTGGCTTGCTTGATTTTCTTTAGCTAGTTGTCGTTTTGATTTTCTCTAGCATTTGAATTTTTTTTGCCCACATTAAACTCCCATTAATTTATGTTGCTTGTTTGATTTTCACTGGATTTCTAACTTTGAATTTTATTTTTGATCTTTTGGAATGTGTGATGTTTACTGTTTTTGAAACTGTAATTATATTTTGTATTTTAAGTTCATTGATGAACTTAGCATGGTATTTTCTTGTAAAAATTGTAGAAAATTTAGTTTGTGAGTAGTTTAATTTTCTCTGGTTTGTTCAAAACACAAAGAGAATTGTGAGCAAATTAGATAAAATTAGTCAAAACATAGAGAGATTTGTGAACAAACTAGAGAAATTTCAAACCAAAGAAATTTCAGACAAATTTCTTTGTGTTTCGAAATTTCTCTATAAAAATATGAGGGACTCCAACTACTATAAAAATATTTCATATCCTTCATGCTATAAAATCTTAATATGAGGGGACCTCAAAAAAAATTCCCCAAATTTTTTTTTTCCCCTAATCTTATACTAAATTAATATAGGGAAATTAATTTAACATCCCTCTTCCACTTTTACTAATGAAAGAGGTCTACAATATATATATATATATAGTCTAAGGTCCCTCCATATATCACACCCACTCTCTCATTCACTCTTTCTTATAGATTTTTCTTTCTCTCTCTTCAAACCTCACATCTCTTCTTTCTTTGTTACATCCATGGCTGGGAGATCAGGGTTTGGCTCGACGGGCAACAATGATTATCGCCAAAACTCATGTAAAAGAAGGTGAGATTGAGGGAGTCTGTAAAAGAAACAGAAGGTGTGTAGGAAGAGTCCAACTCAAGTATAAAGTGAAAACATCACAGCTTTTTGATTTTATAAGGCTTTCAAGCTTTTTGTGAGTAAAATTTACGATATGATCATCATTAGAAAGCAAGCTACGAACTTCATACCATTGTTGATCCGAACAGAAATTGAGTTTTGGAATTGCTTTGCTGAAATTTACAATGCACAACCTACATTAGGGATAAGTGATGTTAGAGTAAGGGAACTTTATCTGCACAAGTTTTCCACACTGGAAGGAATTTGGACAGTTTTGGAATGAGGTGTTGTCTTCACCAACAGAGTGAAAAAACAATAGGTGAGAGAGAACAAAGAAAGCCAAAATGAAGGGGCGAACAACCATTGTACATTCACAAAATGGGTAAGAATTGTGCTATTTACATGGTGAATTCTTGCCGTGATGCTTTGTGTTGGCTTTTTGATTTATTTTTTTTGGTTGAGTCAAAATACAATTTTCTCTGGTTTGGTCACAAAAAAAAAAAAAAAAATTGTGAATAAATCAAAGAAAATTTGTCAAAACACAGTGAAAATTGTGAGTAAATCAAAGAAATTTCGAACAAGAGAAATTTGAAACGTAGAAAAAATCAAAGAAAAATTTCAATCTAGCAAAATTTAAAACATAGAGAAAATTTGAAAACATTGAGAAAATTAAAGAAATTTCAACGCAGAAAAATTTCAAAATACTGAAATTAGAGAAATTTTTACCCAAAGAAATTTTAAAACACAAAGAAAATTTCAAAACATAGAAAAAATTAGATAAATTAAATAAACCAGAGAAATTTCGAACTAGAAAAATTTCCAAACATAGAGAAATTTGAAATTTCTTTGGATCAAAATTTTTCTAGGTCAAAATTTCTCTAGTAAAATGTTGAGGAACCCCAACCACTATGAAAATATTGCATGTCCTTTATTCTAGAAAATGTTAATACCAAGGATCCTAAAAAAAATTCCCTAGCAAAATTTGAACGAGGGGATTGTGATGTGTGAGCAAATCAAATTGAAAGTTATGTGAGCAAATCAAATTGAATTTTCTCTAGACTCTGTAAATTTTCTTTAGTTGTAATCATTGTTTGTAATTTTGTGAATTTTCTCTAGCATAGTCGCTGTATGAATTTTCTCTAGCTATGGTCACTGTGTGAATTTTCTCAAACACTGTGGAATTGTGATATGTCCAGAGAAATTTCAGTGAATATGTCCAGAGAAATTCTAAACATGAACACACAAACACACTCAGAGAAATTTTACGAGGATTCTGATGTGTCCAGAAAAATTCCAAACATAAATACACAAATACACAAATACAGTCAGCAAAATTTCTCTAGTTTCAAAATTTCTCTAGATCGAAATTTCTTTGGAAAAATATTAAGAAACCACAACTACTGTGAAATATTACATATTATTTATCTTATAAAATCTTAATATCATAGATCTTAAAAAAAATTCTCTATTGTTTTATGTCACAACTTAACAAATCAAAACGAAACCTTTTAGGCATAACTAGTAATCTTTTTCTTTTTTTTTTAAAAATCAAAATTACAATTACAATGAGTTGTTGAGTCATAACAACCACCGTAATGTATCATAACAAAAGTCATAATCAAACATCGCTTGAGGTACAACTAAATACATTGTCAATTATAACCAAAACAATAATCATAATAAACCAAAACTAACACCACAATCATAACTGAATTTAACTAATCTATATAATAAGGGAAGAGGGTTTTTGAATTTATCCTAGAGACAATTGTCGTACTAGGACATTTTAATGGTCATGATTCATTTATATATTTAGATGGATGACTGGGATGATAACCTTTTCTCTCACCTTACCACAATTTCCCGCCGAATACCCATACCCACCCACCCACTCACTCTCTACAGAGGAGAGACCTACACTCATCGAACTCTCCCTATAAACTCTCCTCTCTTTGTCTTTCAAAACACCCATCCCCTCTCTCTCTCTCTCTCTCAGCCTTACTTCCCACCGTTACACTTGTACATCGCTCTCTCTCAGAGCCTTACTTCACTTCTATAACATTTGCAGTTTGATCCAATTCAGAGGAGAAACCACCGATCGGATCCATTAGTTTGGGCACAGGAAGGGGGACGTCCTAAAGCACAGAGGAGGAGCAAGGAATCTCTCTCCCCTACTACTACTCTGCATCAATCAAACCTTCTAATTTTGTTTCTCTTTTTCAAATTCATGTACTTTTTTTTTTCTTTTTTGTGGGTGGTTGGTAAGATTGGTGGTGTTGTTGCGGAATTATGTCCATGTGATTACTGTTAATGAAGGTTAGACAATTTAAAGATCAGGGTTTGTTTTGCTTTTTTTTTTTCTTTCTTTTTTTTCAGAGAGAGACAAAGTGCAAATCTATGCATACAAGTTATGTGACTAAGATGTTTTAGCTGTTTTGTGAATTCTTATTCAAACCTTGCTTATTAAGACTTTTTGAGATTTGAAATTTTCAAAGGGGAGCGTGAAGAAAATGCATCAAAGGCTTTTGGTGATGATAATGATGATGCCGAGGCAGATGTATTTGAGGATTTTTTGATGATGATGATGGCTTTTGGTGAGAGAGAATGAGTGGCATCAGGGGTTTTTGGGTTATGTGTTTCTAACCTTAAGTTGTGTTTGGGTTTTTATTTATTTATTTATTTTTTTTTTTAAAGTTCTATTTGTTCTTTATTTATATAGATTTTTTTTTTTATGTAGGGTTTGGATTTAATTTTTTAAAATGTTTTGGATCTGAAATAATATTTGATTTTTATAAAAATGGGTTTTGATTTTAGTTTGATTTATGAAATGGATTTAATTCCTTAATGGAAAATGAGGGGTGATTTTTTACGATTTTGAAAATTTTTTTGAAATGGGTGTTGAAAATATATTTGTTTGGTTTTATTTTTCAAAAATTATTTTTAGGCTGGCTTTTGTTTGTTATTACTCAACTTTTTTTTCTCTCTCCATATTTTAGTCATTTTTTTTATTCTTTTTAGATATATCAAAGTTAGATGCATTTAAAAAGTAAAATATGAAAAAAATTCAATAAAAAAAATCCAAATAAAAATGCACAGATTTTTGTTAGAATTTTTTTTATTGTTAGAATTTTTTAATATTTTAGTCAATTTGTTTTATTTTTCAAATATATTTAGATTAGGTGCATTTAAAAATTAAAAAAAAATGAGTAAAATACAACAAAAAAAAATCTAATAAAATAAATGAAAATACCTTTAAAACGATTTTTGAAAAATCAAACAAAACAATTTATTTCTGTCAAATTAATTTCTTTTTTTCAGAAAGTTCAAAAAATAATTTAACAATCAAACCAAACCGCTATATCATGTATTATTTTTAATATAAATTCAATAAAATTAATAATTTTTATAAAAAAATATTAACTTTGATATTAGAAAAATTTGAAGACATTTCATCATAAAATACTAACATTTAATTTTATAATCTTGTCATAGAAATTTTAAAAAATTTAATGACCTGAATTTGTAATACATATAATAGCATTATAGTAGAAATTAAAATTTCCTCACAAAACTTAAGAAAATTAGAAAAAGTTTTTGAAATGGGTATTAAACGAAAAAATTATTAATTTTATTGAATTTATATTAAAAATAATACATGATATAGCGGTTTGGTTTTATTGTTAAATTATTTTTTGATTTTTTTGAAAAAATAGAAATTAATTTGACAAAAACAAATTTTTTTGTTTGATTTTTCAAAAATTGTTTTAAAGGTATTTTCATTTATTTTATTGGATTTTTTTTTTTTGTATTTTACTCTTTTTTTTTGTACTTTTTAGATGCACCTAATCTAAATATATTTGAAAAGTAAAACAAATTGACTAAAATATTAAAAAATTCTAACAATAAAAAAAAATTCAAACAAAAATCTGTGCATTTTTATTCGGATTTTTTTTAATGAATTTTTTTCATATTTTACTTTTTAAATGCATCTAATTTTGATATATCTAAAAAGTATTTAAAAAAATGACTAAAATATGGAGAGAGAAAAAAAAGTTGAGTAATAACAAACAAAAACCAGTCTAAAATTAATTTCTAAAAAATTAAACCAAACAAAAATATTTTCAACACCCATTTCAAAAACTTTTTCAAAATCATAAAAAATCAACACTCATTTTCCATTAAGAAATTAAATCCATTTCATAAATCAAACTAAAATCAAAACCCATTTTTATAAAAATCAAATATTATTTCAATTCCAAAACTTTTTAAAAAATTAAATCCAAACTCTACATTAAAAAAAAAAATTCTATATAAATAAAGAACAAACAGAACTTTTAAAAAATAAAAAATAAATAAAAAAAACCCTAACGCATCTTAAGGTTAGAAACACAAAACCCAAAAACCTCTGATGCCACTCATTCTCTCTCACCAAAAGCCATCATCATCATCATCATCATCATCAAAAAAACCCTCAAATACATTTGCCTCGACGTCATCATTATCATCACCAAAAGCCTCTGATGCATTTTCTTCACGCTCCCCTTTGAAATTTTCAAATCTCAAAAAGTCTTAATAAGCAAGGTTTGAATAAGAATTCACAAAATAGCTAAAACATCTCAACCACATAACTTGTATGCATAGATTTGCACTTTGTCTCTCTCTGAAAAAAAAAGAAAGGAAAAAAAAAAAAAAAAAAAAGGAGCAAAACAAACCCTAATCTTTAAATTATCTAACCTTTATTAACAGTAATCACATAGGCATAATTCCGCAACAACACCACCAATCTCACCAACCACCCAAAAAAAAAAGTATATGAATTTGAAAAAGAGAAACAAAATTAGAAGGTTTGATTGATGCAGAATAGTAATAGGGGAGAGATTCCTTGCTTCTCTTTTGTGCTTTAGGACGTCCTCTCTCCTGTGCCCAAACTGATAGATCCGATTGGTGGTTTCTCCTCTCAATTGGATCAAATTGCAAATGTTGTAGAAGTGAAGTAAGGCTCTGAGAGAGAGATGTACCAGTGGGAAGTAAGGCTGAGAGAGAGAGAGAGAGAGAGAGAGAAAAAGAGGGTGGGTGTTTTGAAAGACAGAGAGAGAAGAGTTTATAGGTAGAGTTCGATGAGCTTAAGTCTCTCCTCTGTAGAGAGTGGGTGAGTGGGGGTGGGTGTGGGTGTTCAATGGGAAATTGTGGTAAGGTGAGAGAAAAGGTTATCATCTCAGCTGTCTATCTAAATATATAAATGAATTATGTCCATTAAAATGTCCTAGTAGGACAATTGTCTTTAGGATAAATTCAAAAACCCTCTTCCCTTATTATATAGATTATAGTAGAAATTAAAATTTCCTCACAAAACTTAAGAAAATTTTAAATTTTTTTTGAAATGGGTATTAAACTAAGGCACTCATCGCCACTTCCGCTTTGTGACTGTCTACCACCATCGAAAAGGAAAATCTTAACATTATATTTTAATAATTTTATTTTGATTTATATTTTAATCTCATTATTAATTACACCATACCTTCATGCACAGACATACACTAGTACAATAATAAATCATAACTATACACATTTCTTTCAACTTGTGTACTATAAAATTTTCTTCATAGCTCATCGTTTGTCTCTCAGGTTCCAAACAATAATGTGTTCACCTTATCTCACCCACTAAAATATATGAATTACATAATTAATTAAAAATATTACGTAAATAATATTATATAATATTTCGAAATTAATGAGTTGGGCCAGACCAGAGTTGGGCCAAGTGACCAACAGCAGCAGTGGACGAGCCCAACTCTCCCCAAGCCGCCGAAGCCCTATCTCTCATCCCCAAGCTGCGCTCTCTGAGTTCTCTCCCACTCTCACACTCCGAGTCCATCAACTCCCTAACTCGTCTCTCCAACTCAGCCCCACTCACAAACCCGTCTTCCTCCCTCTGCTCCACCGGAATCGCCATCTTCATATCCTCCACCATCGCCGCCTTATTCAGGTGCTGCTCCGCATACAACGGCCACGCCACCATCGGAACTCCGGCGACCATCGCTTCCAACACCGAGTTCCACCCACAGTGAGTCACGAACCCACCAACCGAGTCGTGACTCAGCACCGCCACCTGCGGCGCCCACGACTCCACCACCATGCCCCTATCTCCAATTCTCTCCAAAAAACCTTCAGACATCAATCCATGAATGTCGAACTCGCTCAGCTCTTGAATCAGCTTGCTTTTCTCATCAATTGGCGGATTTTTCAACACCCACAAAAATCTATGGCCACTTCTCTCCAACCCTTTACCTATCTCCCTCACCTGCTCCGCCGAGAATGTTAAAAAATACTGTATTATTGATTGATTACAAGATTGTTGTGTGTTGTATTACAAATCAGAGTGGCATTATATAGGAGAGGGTTTGGGTAGTAGGTGAGGGTAAATTGGTGGTAGGTGGAGTGTAGTAGGTGAGTGTGAATGGTAAATTCTAACAGAGAACGATCCTCTGCTACCGAAACACAAGAACACCACGCTCCGTTTCGGCTGCGAATCGAGCCATTTCAAACACTTGTGGTCCCTAGATCTGTTCTCAGGTTCAGCAATCAACGGACCGATGTAGTGAATCGGAGGAGTTGGGGAATCAATGACGCACAACCCATCTGCGATTGCTCTAATGGGTATTGGCTCGAGATCTTCGAATGTGTTGACTATGATTCCATTTGACTTGGGTAGATGAGAAGAGAAATAGAGTATGTCATGATAAGCCGGGTCGTCTCGGTCGAGTACAGGCTCAGGCATATGTACCGCTCGAATTGGGGGCAAACCCGGAACGTGAATTTCGGTGGCGGAGAGGTCTCTGAAGCTGTTGTGAATTTGTTTGTGAATTGTTGGGAAGTGGAGGTAGGCGGCGAGGGCCGCGGCGCCGGAGGTGAAGAAGTAGAATGTGGGTATTCCGAGGGCGGTGGCGATGGGGAGAGCGGAGGTGCAGAAGAAGTCAATGATGAGGGAGCGGATGGCTGAGGTTTGGGAGATTTGGTGGAGAGAGTGGCGGACGTTGGCGGCGTTGCGGCGGATGAATTCGAATGCAATGGCGGCGGGGCTGATGGTGGGGGCGGTGGAGGTGGTGGGGGCGGTGGAGAGAGGAGGGAGGCGGTGGAAAGTGATGGAAGGGGTGGATTGGGAGATGGAATTGAGGTAGGAGTGGATGGAGGGTGTGTCGAAGAGGCCGGTGGTGATGAGGATGTTGATGGTGAACTTGGAGGAGTAGTGGTGGAGGATGAGCTTGCCTAGCTCTACCATGGAGACTACATGGCCCATTCCTGGAGCTGGGTATAGGACTATGGTGTCTTTCATGTTGTTTGGTTTCAAGTGTAGTCTAGGGTCCAGCTACCACAGTATAAGAGCATCTCGAACCCACTTCTCTCACCAAGGGAATGAAAATAAATTTTTTTATTTAAAAAGTAAATATAAAATATGTTACTATTTATTCAAACTTCAATCACAAATTTTTAAAATCTTTCATTCCCTCTTCATCAAAAACTAATTTTTATTCATTAATAAATATTTAATTTTGAAATTTTTGTAAAACATATTTAATATTACACTCATTTTAAAGGTATGATTTCACATTTTTTAATGATGTCAATTTTATAAAAATTAAATTTACATATTAAAAATTATTTATAATATAATAAAAAATATAGAATGAATAATGTTTTGGAGGACATCTTCTATTTTTCATCCTCTCTTCATATTTGGAGGATCAACTCATCCTCCTCCCAAATAGAGATGAATTTAGAGGATGGGTTGGAATAACAAATCCTTTATATTTGAAGATATAGAGGATGTATTGGAGATGCTCTAACTGAGAGATTGTTGTTGTTTGTTAGTATTTGTCATTTGGGTGAATTAGGAATGGCAACGGGACGGGGCGGGGCGGGAGACCACCCCCCCCCCAAACATAAACATATATGAATCTATATATACATCTAACCCCTCACTGCCAGTCTATCATTATCAATCATCATCAACTTAAACAAAAAATTAAAAAATCTGAACCTGTATATATGAATCTATATATACATAAATATATATATATATGAATTTCAATCTGTTGCATTGAATAGATTCATATATATATATGAATCTTTAAAAAATATATACATAAACATAAACATATGAATCTGAACCAGATCTGTCCATCTTCAAATCTGTTTCGATCGGCGGCGGGGAGCACAGATCAACATCTTCATCTTCATCATCTCCATCATCTCCATCTTCTAGACCTGGGACGATCGGCGGTGAGGGAGCACATCTTCATCGTATGTGTGAGAGAGAGTGGGACAATCGGCGATGAGGGAGCACAGCAGCGGTGAGGGAGGAGTGTCGGTGAGAGTGAGAGTTGAGGGTGAGATCGACGGTGGCTGTGCTGTGAGAGACATAGAAGAACGAGAGGCGACTGCTGTGAGAGAGAGAGTTGAGAGAGAGAGAGAAGGACGAGTGTGAGAGTGAGAGAGTGACGCACGGGTTTAGGGTTTGATTTATTTATATACATATATAAGGGGTATAAAAGTAATTTAATTTTAGGGAAATTCGGGGATGGGGCCGGGGCCGGGGCCGGGGACGGAGCCGGGGCCGGGCCGGGGCTTCAACACTGATCACCGTCCCCGGCCCGAAACAGATCGGGGATTGATTTTCAAATACCGTCCCCTCCCCGTCGAGGAAACTTTTCGGGAAAAAACCGCTTAAATCGGGATCGGGGTCGGGGATCCCCGTTCTTTCGGTTTCAAATTGCCACTCCTTATAATAAAGGAAATTCTACATTTGCACACCACTTGAGACTAATGAATATTTTTTTATTATGCTTGATTTTTGTTAGGATTTTTTTTATAATTATAATTTAGAAAGTATAAATTTATAATATTTTTTTAATTATTAAGTGCATATGATATATATTATTTTTTTTGATAATAAATAAATAAACTAACTTAATAAATATATATATATATATATACAAATTAATGAAATGTACAATTTTATGATCCACCTGAACCGTGATGAAACTCTCCCAGAATTAAGATCAAGAGGAACAGAAATTAAGAGATTTAGATGTATGATGAGGGAAAGTGAGGACACAATTTTAGATTTGTCATATTATGGCCAAGCAACTTCTTGTAATGGATTGCAAAATTATTTTACATCCTATAGTATTAAATGAGACTTGAAAGTTGTATGTAAACTTTTATCTATCTATATTAAACTGATTCGAATATTACCAATTAAATTATGATGGAAGATGTATGTGTGTTTGAAGGGAAATGCATTTGTTTTGAGGGATTAAGTTGTGGGATTAGACTATTAGTCTGGATGGATTAATAGTTCGTTGTTTGGTATTAAATTTTTGCTTCAGACTAATAATCTCATATTTGTTGGATTGTAGTATCCGGAGGGGGGGAGGGACAGAAATCATGGGATGAGTTATCTCATGGGATTAGCCAATAAAATTACATTTTTGACTCTTTAATATTTAATATCTCTTTCTTCATCTTTTACCCATTTGTGCTTTCCAGCAGCTTCGTTACTTCACTACAACAAAACCCTAGGCCATTTTCTATTGAACCTTTGCATCAAGTTCAGATCTGTAATCTCCGATCTTCATTCAGGTTTAAAACACATTCTACATCTTTGATTTTGTTTGTTATTTATTTTTTATTTTCATTCATTTTTTTTTTTTCCAAAATTTTTTAGTTTACATCTTTAGTTTTGAAACTCAATCCATTCTACATCTTTTATTTTCATTCGTTTGCATCAAGTTCTACATCTTTGATTTTGAAACTCATTCTCATTATTATTATTATTATTATTGAATATATTCAACCCGATGTTCTATGACCTGTCTTGGTTTAGTGCTATGTTTTATTTATTTATGTATCTTTTATGTACTTTGGATCTATAGTAGATGGCAAGAAATTCTTATAGTACCTTTTTTGCTTTGTTTTTTGTTTATAGAAAGAAAAATCTATGCTCTGTTTTTGTTTTTGTTTTTGTTTTTGTTCTTTTTTACAGAAGGAAAATATCTATGCTCTGTTTACAGAAACAAAAATCTGACTAGCCTCATCTTTACATGCGTCTTGATACTTGATCAAGATCAATTTATGTTGTATGTGCTCAGATTGAAGATTAATCTATGCTATGCTGTATGTACTCAATTTAATCAAATACTTTTTGTTTGTTTTAAAAAAAAATGATAGAAATTGAAAATATTTTTTTATAGATTGTAAACATCTGTTGAGTGAAATTAATTGTTCTATTGTTCATATTTTTTAATTTTTGTGGATTGCGAACATCTGTTGAGTGTGATTAATTGTTCTATTGTTCTATTGTTCATATTTTTTTTAATTTTTGCGGATTGTAAACATTTGTTGAGTGTAATTAATTGCAAATGATAGAAATTGAAAACATTTTTTTGTGGATTGTAAATATCTGTTAAGTGTAATTAATTGTTCTATTGTTCTATTGTTCATATTTTTTTTTTTTAATTTTTGTGGATTGTATACATCTGTTGAGTGTAATTAATTGTTCTATTGTTCTATTGTTCATATTTTTTTAATTTTTGCGGATTGTAAACATCTGTTGAGTGTAATTAATTGCTTACTAATTGTTTATGATTTGCCGTTATGTTTTCTCCTTTACTTAATTTATTTGTAATTTTAAATATTTTCTTGTATATAGAGATGGATCAGAACATCAATGATTTTGATGATGAGAATAACGATGAGCTTGAATTATACCTAGTGTTGCAAGCTGTAATGCAAGAACTACATGCCTTATGCGCCATAGCTTTTGTTGTCATTGAGGTTGTCTTGAAGAGGAATTTATCTAAGTATCGCCATAACCTTATTAGAGGCCCAATTGATTGCAAAACCAAATAGACTATATTAACCGTTTAGTGAGAGAAAGTGACATAACATGTGTTGAACAACTTCGTATGGATCGGCATTCTTTTATGACCTTGTGCAATATGGCTCATACAATAGGCAGGTTAGGACATTCAAAATATGTCACTTTAGAAGAGATGGTGGCCTTCTCCCTCTTCATCTTGGCATAACACTTGAAAATACAAAATGTTAAGTTCAATTTCTATAGGTCTAGAGAGACTGTTAGTCGATATTTCAATGATGTCTTAAAGGCTGTGTTGCGTCTGCATGCCAATTTACTCATCACACCAAATCCTACAACTGAAACAAACACCGATCCAAGGTGGAATTGCTTCCAGGTAATGGATTCGTAAAAATTTGATAACATTGAATTACGTTTTTTTTTTATTTCTTTTATTAAATCTTTTTTACCAAAAACAAAAATCATAACTATTATAATGTCTATTGAATTGGTTTGTTTAGAATTGTCTTGGAGCACTCAATGGCACCTATATTAAAGTTCATGTACCTGGGGTTCATCAAGCAAGGTATAGGACATGAAAAGAAGATATTGCTACTAATGTTTTGGGAGTTTGCTCCCAAGACATGAATTTCATATATTTGTTGCTGGGGTGGGAAGGGTCAATGGCCGACTCTAGGGTTTTGAGAGATGCAATCAATCAACCCAATATTTTAAGGATCCCAAATGATAATACAAAAGTACTTAATTTTTCTTAAATTCATAAATAATAATTTAATCTAATGCATAACATTCCATGCACAGGTTACTATTATCTAATGGATGCGGGGTATACGAATGGGAAAGGATTCCTAACACCTTACCGTGGTCAGCGATACCATTTGTCTGTTTGGAAAGAAGGAGCAACTCCAAATAGTTACCAAGAATATTTCAACATGAAACATGCATCAGCCAGGAATATCATAGAAAGGTGTTTTGGAATGCTGAAAATGAGATGGGCTATAATTCGCAGTGCATCATACTATCCCATTAGAACCCAAAATCGAATTATCACAGCATGTTGCTTGTGACACAACTCTATTCGACGAGAGATGACAGCTGACCCTATAGAGGATGATTCAGACTTAAAGGATGCCTTAAAAAATCAACCGCCAATGGGCAATGATTTTATTGAGACTGTTGAGACATCTAACGAGTGGACTAAGTAGCGAAATACATTTGTAATGCAATTGTACAACAATTGGTTGGCTAATGGAGGGGCTGGATAAATATAGCTTTATGTTTCTACTTTGCTTTGTTGTTAAACCATTTAAATATGTGATGTATCATTGCTATGTACGTTTATGAATAATTGACATTGTGGATGTTAAATTATATTTACAACGGTTAGTATTATGATATATATGTTTGTGAGTTATTTATATTTTATGATAATGCATATGAAATGTTCAATTATTACTGTAGGCATGGATAATGAGGTATCCAGTTCTTGTAAGAAAAAGAATGACACGG